GTTCTTGTAAAGAACGAAAGGTCGGTGACCTAAAGTACGCTTCCTCAAGCGCTAAGCTTCGACAACGCCGCTGCACTTGGTAGCACTTGTAGTCAATCTACACCTGAGTTGTTTAGACTGATCCTGTGTGAGGATGGAGGAATTTTCCTCTTTGCTCCAGGGCATGCAGGACGGGCTCAATAAGCTGATGTTCTTGCTTGGCCCTGAGGGAGTGCAACACCTTGTAGCACAAGGCGCCACAGCAATCAGTGCGCATCTAGAGACGATTCAAGTTACGAAAACGCGCTGCTAGAGCACCTGCAGCAGAAGATGTCTGCTTCGTTTGCGTCCATGACGCCACCGTCAGTGACGGATGACTTCCCCCGACCTAAGCCGCTCCTGGTGAGCGTAAGGTCTTTGAGAAGGAGGATGAAGAGAATATTATGTTCTGGGTGAGAGAGGTTGAGATGGCCATCGCAACCGCCATGCTCCAGACCGAGCAACAGCGCGTAGCGCTAGCCATCTCAAAGCTTGTTAGCCGAGCGCGAGAATGGGCACTGACGTGCGGCACTTCGGGCGCAGCTGCGTTCCCTCCTGGACGGAGCTGAAATTTCAGCTCTCACGAGTGTTCTCGCCACCTAATCCGGCGTATCGCGCTCGATCGCGTTTCCTTGCCGCCCGACAGGGCAAGAAGGAATTGGTGGACTTGTCCAAGAGATGCAAACTCTCTTTGCCGGGTGGCAGCAGATCCCCTTCTGGAGGCGGTACAGTGACCGTCTTTATGAAAGGCCTCCACAGTGGCGTGGACAGAATGGAAGTCTTCCGTGTGCATCCGTCCTCATTTGAAGAGGTGATGAATGTGGCACTGAATGCCGAGCTCAATTTAAAGTCGGCACGACTTGGTTGGAATGCACACTCCAACAGCTCGTCAAGCGGATCTGTGCCCATGAATCTCAGCTATGCTGAGGACGAGAGAGCAAAGCTCCGAGCTGCCGAGCAGCACACAAGTATAAGACGGCGTTTTGTCTGTGGAGACACCAGTCACCTTCGGAACGGTTGCCCCCTGCGCAAGGCGCGTCAAGGTTCTTGGAGCCATTGCCCCAATGCCTATCAGTCTGGTTCGTCGCGGGGAAACGACACCACTCAGTAGGCGCGGGGCGACCTACTGGTGAAAAACTGAGTTCTGTTGAGCATCAGGGAGGCATAGGTCAACAGATCCCAGCCCCGATGAGCTCCGTGCTCTTGAACACGGAACCTGTGTGCAAGCCGGGCTTGCTGGCGAT